AAAGAGGTTTGATTCGTACGTAAAATATTTGAGCGTTTTCTAACTGTGCCAATGACTAGTGTTTGGTTTCTACTAACACAAAGACATTTCATAGGGTACCACACGTAAATCTATTTGAAATATCACTAAACCTTGTTTTAGTCAAGAAAGATATTCGAGTAATCATAACTTTTACTAACAACAAACAGCTTGCATGCGGGATGAGAACGAATTTAATGAATACACAAAAATATAAAAGGTTGCGTTTTTTCCCCGGATTTATTTAACTTCTACAGAGAAATGGTCCTAAGAGAATTAGAAAATCTACCAAGAATTATTGTTGGCGGGTATAATCTTTGTTGGAATTTTAGGGTATTAGTGAGTCAGCCAAAATGAACTGACTCATTTTATAGTTCACCAATAGAAGGGTTAACCAATCAGAAGGCTCAAAATATTCAATGCGACGTGTATAAAGGCGGCCATTTTTTCCCCCGAATATTCACTGGCAGCCTTTGATATCGAAGACTGAAGAATTACAGAACAGCTGCTGGTGGTATTGGTGATATAGGCGGATTCAGTAGAGTGTCTGACTCGTGAGTATTAATCTTTAACGTTGTTTCATTGAACAGATTACGTACTGCGCTGTATTTTATATTCATAGACTATGGTAGACATGGTTAACAATTTTAACGATATCAAATATATACCACCTATAGTACACAAACCATGGCCCAAGACGGATCATCCGTGGACAAGATTACACATTGATTTCGCTGGTCCAGTAGAAGATTATTACTACTAAATAGTGGTAGATAGTTTTACAAAATGGCCGGAAGTACTACGCTGCAAAAAGCCTACGTCCAATACCACAACAACTTTTTTGCATGAACTATTTGCACGGTTCGGTGTGCCAGAGTGTATTGTGAGTGACAATGGTACACAATTCACTTCTGAAGAATTTAAGGAATTTTGTGAGTTATATCAAATTAACCACATAACGACGCCTCCGTATCATCCGAGGTCCAATGGACTCGCAGAAAGATTTGTCGATACTTTAAAGCGCGCTCTGAAGAAAGCCTCAGGAGTTCCAACGGAAAAGGCGCTTCAGCAATTCCTACAAGTATACAGAATCACGCCAAACCAGAGAACACACTCAAACATGGCACCAGCTGAACTAATGTTCGCTAGGAAAGTTAAGTCAGTGTTTGACAAACTTTTTGCCAGGAAAAAATAGAAAAAGAATACTATGTATACAGCGAGAAAAAGATACACCTCCGGAGAGAAGGTGTTTTTCAAGTGCTACAAAAACAACGTTGAGTTCTGGGAGCGAGGCATAGTGGACAAGAGAATCGGTGACCTGATTTACATAATTAAAGGGCCGAAGAATACTCATAAAAGGCACCAGAATCAACTTAAAAAATGTTACGTTATAGAGCATGAAAAGAGTATACCGGATGAGGAGGAAGATACCATTGAGGTAATGTATGATATGTTTCAAGTAGAACCTCCGCAGAATACTCCTGAACCGAGAAGATCCGGTAGGAAACGAAAGTTCACGGACCCATTGGACGTGAATCCAAAACGGAAAAAATATTAAAATTAAGCGGATGGACATATGCATATGAAGTATGCAAATGGATCTACAAAGAAATAGCCATAATCATCAACCCATATAGGAAGCCAGTTTGAAATCCAAAAGGGATTCCAAGGCTTGGGAGGGGGGTGTTGTGGTAGGATCCACCTAATTTGCATAGTGGAGTACCGACCATATAAATATGGTTGGTACCGGGAAGAGAGGGAGGAATCAAGAGATTCAACCAGAGACTGCCCGACTGCGACTCAGTCAACACATTCTCCAGGAACGGTCTTACCAGGGATATACAAAAGACTATATGTAAATATTGTGTACACTTTCTTGTTTCAATACATTTTGTTCTAAGTACATTTTGTGTTGCATTATTATTCCATGCATTAGTCAAGTTTCAACACAAATGTTACTCTATTTATGACAGACTTAGAAAGAAAATTAAGATTACTGATATATAAGGTAGTAATTGAGGACAACAAGGAAAAACCAATCATTAATTATAAAAAGATAGAATGCATGATTTGTCAGCAAAGTAGACAGTCCAGTGTATGTTTTGAAGACATCAAAATCAAGTAGATAGCGAAATTTAACTATCTGATAAACACATCACGGAAAGTCTAATACAGAGATCATAGGAATAACTAAAGATGCCTTCTAGGCACTAAACAAAGTGTTAACTATAGGAAAATCTCCATAGAAATAAATTGAAAAAAAAAGTGCTGAAATGGTATGTAATATATTCAATCTCCTATATGTCAGCAAATATTTGACAATCTAACCACGGATTAACAATTGAAGTGACGAAGATGTAATTCTATTTTATGAAAATTCTGAGAATACCATGGACAAAATATGCAAGTAACGAGTAATTTTTAATGAACTCCAAAGAAACTGCTATTAACAGCCAAATCAAGTGATAGCTGAAATTTATGGGGTGCATTATGAGGAAAGAGGGCTTCGGAAATTTAACACTCATACGAAATACAAGAGAAATGGGGAAAGAGAAAGTAACCTGCTGATCGATTTCGATTGAATTGATGGACAAAGAGGAAAAGATAAGGAAATAAATGTTACTTAGTGCAAAAAAAAATATAGGAAGTTATGAAAAACCACGATCGTCCACGTCCTGAAAGAAAATAGCTTTAACGACGTCTCCAAAGAGAAAACTATAGCGAAGAAAATGGCGACTTACCTCGTCAAACCAAGCGACAGCGCGTCGCGTGTATCTTACGACGGAAAATGTGTCGAAAAAGAAAATTACGTACCAAAAAAGTGGGCACGTATTCCGCATGACAGACTGAAGACGAAATATTTAAATTAAAAAACAAGTCCGTCGCCGTAGTTACTATAAAAGTATTATGATATGCAAAAATTGGACGTCTTCTCCCAGTTGTCGACGAATGGAAAAAATGTTCGACCGATAAAAGCAGTTGGTGTTCTTCTCGGATCGGGGAGAAAAAAAATGGTTTATTTTGGCTACCGCGTTCGTTGGAGAGTGAGTTATATTTCTGACTGGTTATGTGCATTGGGATTTGTGAGATAGTAACTGCGAATCGAGTTTTCGGCATTTCTTTCTGCCACCGATATTCGAGTCTGAACTTACAGTGATTTGTTCTTTGTGTTGTGGAAGTAATCTGCGACAAATACTTCCTTTGCTTTCAGAACGCTTATAATTCTAATAGTGGCATGAACTAAATATTATCTAATTAAATCCTATTAAATCCTTAAATGTGGATGTATTTAAGAACATTCCCGAATTACTTGAAATATTGACAAACTATAAAAGCTCTTTTAATTTAATGCTGCAATACCCAGGAAAACTAAGCTATACGATTCCAAGATGAAAGATCTACCGGGATAAAAAGAAAAAAAAACGTTTGCTAAAGAGACTCTAAAATTGTTCTATGATAAATTCAAAAGAGAAACATTAAAAATTCAGCTTTGGTTTCAGGTTAAATTATTCGCTCAGTAAAAACAAGGCCAATATAATCACTACAAACGGTATTTATTGAATTTAAATATTGTCACACTCTTGCAAATAATTTGAACTGAAAAATAAGGATATCTAATTAGTAGAAACTTTTTTCACGAATCAACATTAGAAAACTAATAATTTCAGCTCTCAAATGATGTACTGGATGATATGAATTATGATTTAAATGGAAAACTGCTTTGATTTTTCACCCATGTATTTGCATAAAATCTATTACAAACTGAAGATAATATTTCTATCGGGTGTTTGCTTCACTCTTTGCTTTTGCAATTAAGCTAAGCTTAATAAAGAGCTTTGATTCGTACGTATAATATTTGTTCCAGCAACTGGTGTTTGAGTTCTGATAAAACAAAGATTTAAATGCTGACTTTTAAGACATGCAATATCTCCTCACTTAAAGATGACAAAACAATCTTCCCACCGCCAGTTTTATCCATTTATTCGGCTTTGTATTCTTTGCTATCATAATCTGCATATTCATCTTGGTTGTTATACTTACAATGTTTCAGCCGTTGTAGCCACCTGCCTTCTTCAGGTGTTACTTGTACTCAGGTAACTTTTGGAATTTTGAACTGAAACTTATATGCAATCCTTGGGGTAGATTTTTTCCATTCTGCTTTCCATGTTTAGGAGATATTTTACACCAGTTAATACTTACTCACTAGTCTTAATCACTTTTGGGTAATTTATCAGGCGTTCTAGTTATGACGATAAACTACATCCGCGTCCTGAGTAAGACGATAAACTACATCCAACAGCAAGGTCTCTTAATTGCTGATGTTCCCAGGTTCACCCTGATTCGGGGTAGTAGTATCTGTTAGGGTCCCAGCTATGGGCAAATAGTTAACCCCAAACTTGGGTCAAAACACTATGAAAGTGTAAAAATAGGTTTTAATACCAGCAATACCTTTTTGTAAAAAATTATTACCAGAAATACATTTTTGAAGGAAAATAAATATATTATCAGAAATACTTATTTAAAGGTAAAAATATATTAGCAACAATATATTTTTGAAAAAAAAATGATTACCAGCAATAAAAATCTTGTCGGCATTAAATAACCCATTGAGGTTGATATATCGTAAATCAAACAAATAAAGTAGTTTATCCGTAAGTGATTTTCAGCACTGCCCCTGCCCAGTTATTGAATTCATAACTGCCAGGTAAACAGATATGTTTTAAGCGACACCATGTGTTGCCTGAACAATTCGAAACACTTCAATTTACAGCTTCCATATTGTCTTAAGAAAAAAAAACATCCACGGGTCAAAGACAGAAGTGTCAATGCAGACACGTCAACAAAAGATGATTATCATTAGAAAAATGTCAAGAGCAGCAATAAAATATCTGCAATGCTATCTATACTATACATAACTTACACATTTAAAAAGAATACGTGTTACTGGCGGAAGCATTCCCTTGGTAAATTTTTTTAACAAAATGGAAGTGAACGTTAATCAATACGATGAATTATTTTTTTTTCTTCTTGGAAATGAGATAATGTCTGTCATTCTTTCTTTCCTTTGTTTGGTTTCTTTCGTTGCTTTACTCTCTATTTCTTTTGCCTTACTCTCCTTCTTTCTTTCATTTTTTTTTCTTTCTTTCTTTAGTTTTTTTTTTCTTTCTTTCTTTCGTCTTTCTTTCGTTTTTTTTTCTTTCTTTCGTTTTTTCTTTTTTCTTTCTTTCTTTCTTTCGTTTTTTTTTCTTTCTTTCTTTCTTTCGTTTTTTCTTTCTTTCTTTCTTTCGTCTTTTTTCTTTCTTTCTTTCTTTCTTTCTTTCGTTTTTTCTTTATTTATTTCTTTCTTTTTTTTCTTTCGTTTTTCTTTCTTTCGTTTTTTTTTCTTTCGTTTTTCTTTCTTTCGTTTTTCTTTCTTTCTTTCGTTTTTCTCTTTCTTTCTTTCTTTCGTTTTTTCTTTCTTTCGTTTTTCTTTCTTTCTTCCTTTCTTTCTTTCGTTTTTTCTTTCTTTCTTTCGTTTTTTCTTTCTTTCTTTCTTTCTTTCTTTCTTTCTTTCTTTCTTTCTTTCTTCCTCTTGTTCTCTTTTTTATTCCTTCACAATTATTTTCCTCACTTTTATTTTGTCATCGTTATTTCTTTGAATGAAGTTTTCCATTTATATATTTTAATGTGACAAAATGAAGAACGTTCTGGAAATAAGCGGACAAACTGGAACCACCAGCAAAAAATTCAGTAAGAACGCCGATGAAATCGGATGGAAGTGGGGAAAAAAATCAGTCAGGTGTAAAAACTCACCAAGTAAATAATAAAAATAATGTTAAACCTGGTCGTAATGACGTGTTAAAACTGAATATATAAACTGTGTACCTATGTATACGTCTGTATGAGTGTGTGTTTAAAAAGGTTATTCCAGTAAGTTTAGATTTATAAAAATTTGTGAATTTTTAACTCGCTCTTGTATAATTTGGGATCTAAAGGCTGACAGAGCTTTATTGAATATTCTCGACTGGAATCAGATATAATTATGATATCTATACACCAGTCTATCTGGAATATTTACACTGAGTTTAAGTTCCCCATGACAAATACATTCGATATAATCATCAAAGGTGGTACATAAATGTTACGTTATGATCAATAACTGCTCCCTTGCTGAACACGCTGGTCTACCAATGATTGGGATCCGTTGATGAGCTCCAGGAGAGAAAACCAATTGTTATTAAGTTACTGTTGGAGATAGAAAAAGGAAATGAAACGAAAACAGTAAGTTAGTAACTGTGATGAAAAAAGTACGCAGGTGTAGGCAATTTTTTTTCTTTTATGTGCCGTGTGCTTTCAGGACTTAAGCGATCATGGCTCTCCACCTCCTTCTATCCCTTGCAGAACTCAACAAGTTCCTTCCCTCTGCTCCTTCCCCCAGACCACGTTCTGTCATCCATTTGCTTAAGGCAGCCATGTATGTCATGTATTGCTTTCCCTTGTCACGCTTTCCCTCTATTCGACCCGTGAGTATCAAATTCTTCAGCCCCTCCTTCCTCATTATGTGTCCCAGAAACTTTAGCTGCCTCTTCCTGATGTTAATTATAAACCTTGTTTGCATCCTCTCCAAGACCTCATCGTTGCTCACACGCTCTGTCCACGAAATCAGCATTCTTTTGTAGAACCATATCTCCGTCGCCTCGAGTCTTTGAGGAAATCCTCCATCATTCACTGCCGTAAAGGACAGATGTCATGTAACAGCTCAGTATCTTTTTCTTTGTTAACAAAGAAATCCTCATGTCTTGCAATACTCTACCGAGCTTTTTGTGTAGGCTTTAAGAAAGCTTTATTCAACTGAGAATACAAGTTTCACGGACAGGGTCCTTCATAGTCCTAGTAAACAGAAATAGCTCTCTCAAAGAAACGTGTAACAAAACAAGGGGAGACCACTCATTATTATTCATAAGAGTAACGTAACTAAAAACGAAAGTCATCTATTAGTTACAAGAAAAAACTGCTATCAGTTTAGAAAAAAACAACAAAGGAACCTATAAATACAGAGATAAAATCAAGCAAATCTTGAAAAGAAGCTGAGTATCAGACTTCGTGTTGCCGTTAATGCAGAAGAAAAACATGAAGAACGATAACTACTAATGAGCGAATGGCTGAGCTCTACAGGCGGCAAACTACGAAACAGATAAAATGTATCTGACTTCAAAACTAACAGAAGTTACAAAAATAGACATTACAACAGACAGCGAATATTCAAAACAGCAATGTAAGGAAGAAATCACTAGCAGCTTTTAACATCAATAACCTAATATTTGGTACTTTATAAGAAAAATATTTGAGCTAATAGATGCCCTCGACTAGCAGGAACAGCAATCCAACTTGGGAAATCTGATTAAAATCTAGACCTTGAAGCTACAAAGAGATGGAAGATTATTAAAAGTAAAAAAATAAAAAAACAAATAAATAAAGACTTGACGAAAAAGGACGAGACAACGGATTTGCTAAAATACAAAGTAGAAAAAAACAAGAAGAAAAGAACTAAAGAAAACAGACTAAAAAGTTATAGACTGTAGTTAACACTCTACACACAAATCTGTACACCCTAAAACCATGAAACAAATTATTACAAGAACATTAACAGAGAATGCAGACAAAAGAAACGTACTGGACGTACAACCCTAAGACTTGTTGGAACGAAACGTAGGAATGACACAAAGAACACAATGAATTGTCACGAAAAGAAATACCGAAAATGTATTTCAAGGAATTCACCGCATCAAAATTTAGACACACTACAATTTCAAAACTACTTGAAGAAAGAAAAAGATGCAAAAATTCCAGAAATAGACCAAGCAATATGTCTAAAGAGACTGAGAGAAGAACCAAGCGAGTAACTTTTGACTGATCAAATGATTGCCCGTGAAATGAAAAACTCCTGACTGAAAATATAACCAAATAAATCTATAAAAAGCCGAGGATTCTCAAATGTTTTCAGATCAAAGGTTAAAAATTCGGATTTATAATCAGTGAATTGAAAGTTGACCAAATACTCCGTGATTTCAAGATTCAGACAAAAATCGATTTCCAAACGAGATGTCTGACTTCGATGTTGAAAAGAAAAAATACGACTGTTAAATTATTCCTATGGTTTTTGCAACAAACTATAGTTTAAAACTTTAAGACGGTGAAAACTGTGAAATATCACATCGTTGGTTTAGAATCAGATAGAAAAGATTGGACATGAAGTTTATGACCATACGTATAATCGCTGGAACACACGGACTTTATTTAAATAATGATATGATTTAAACCACAAAAAATATGATTTTTTGCGAGAGGTTTGCTCGGATTACACGAGATTTAGCTACCATTTAACACCCAGTATTGATCAGCAATGATTTCAGCTACGAAGTAAATGAAAAACATGCTCTGTTCATATCTCCTCATAAGATCTTATTGTAGAAAATCAAACGATAGGATTTACTGTTACTGATACCCATCAAAGTAAAACAATTATCAAAACTACTAAGTTATTTCCCTTTAACTGAGCCAAAACTTAGAGTGTTGAGTCAAAGGGAGATAACTGTGACATCCGGAAGATGCAAGGTACGTGGAACTAGAACAATCTACCCCGGTGGATGAAATAAAGGGTTCGGTTCGAAATTCCAATCACCTGAAGAAGGTCGGTGCGTACAACGGTCGAAACATTGTGAATATGGCAGTGAAGATGAGTCTAACAGTCCGAATAATGTAAATAATGCAAATTGGAAAAGGTTGTTCTCATTTCATTTGGGTTTAAAATTCTTAATTTTCGAGAATTTAGCAAATGAATTAAGAAGAAGAAAAAAGAATATTTCTAAAATCTACTTCATAACAGCCAGACAGGAAATATTTAAAAAGAAACATCAAACATTTATCATCAATATATTTACCGTATTTTCCAGCTTACAAGACGCACTTTTTTCCTAAAAAATACCCTGAAAAATAGATGCGTTTTCCAAGACAAATATAAGGCAACGCCCAGGCTCAAGCAAACTTGGACGGCTTGACTGATAGGGACGTGGATTTGTATGTTGAGTCATTGCACTAGAATATTAGCTATCTATCTAATTCGGCCTTTTATATGGTGTAATCGGAGTACTAAGCTGTTACAAGTATTTCCAAGATTATAAACCTTCCTGGAGCCGAGCCATAATCTTAAACATGCTCTGGAGCCTGCAGGAGCCTTTCTACTTTTGACTAGTATGTCATTGCCATACAAGTACAATCGAACGAGTGATAAATGTCAACAATACGTGGTGCCAGTCTGTGAGGGACGCATGTTGAATGTGTTGTTGTATGAGAATGACTTCTTTTTTTCTTAGAAATTTCTTTCCAATATTAGGCTGCGTCTTCCATGCTACGGCGTCTTGTAAGCCGAAAAGTACGGTAATTGTGCGAAAAAAATCAAGAATCAAATCTGAGAATGTATTTTGTGCACATCTTGTGAATATCCACGAGAATTTAGCCTGGGCAAATGTCAAAAAGAATTTAGCAAGTGAAATATGTATTCTATGCTTTATTTCTTGATCTTTAGATTTAATCAATAAGCTAAAGGCAACATCTCGTAGCGTTACTTAATCCTAAACAAACATGAAAGGATGTATTATTGTTATAAATGTCCTTTAGCTTTGCAATTAAAATTACTCAAATATTCATCAAAACTAACATTTAAAATTTTTTTTAAAAAATATGTGTATTTTTTTCAGTTTCGTCGTTAACACTTTTTTATGAAAATATTTTATCTTCAAATTTGAACGCCTCGAAGGTAATTTGAAACAAATAATTAGTAAATTTGAACCTGACACACTTTTCGAAATTTTAAACTTTGCCTCTTGGAGAGACTTTGACATTTTAGGTCATAAGATATAGTATCTATCTATATTTCTGAGATGAGGTATTATGTACATTATTTACATTATTCGGACTATTGTCCTCATCTTTGTCGCCATATTTATTACGTTTCGGCCTTCTTCAGGTGGTTAGAATGTCGAACTAAACCCTTTATTTCGCTTACTGGGGTAGACTGTTCTAGTTTCACGTGCCATGTTTAATGGATGTCAGTTATCAGTTATCTCCTGTTAATTTCCCTCTGAAAGTTCTCCACTGCCTTGGCCGGGTATTGAACTCACACTCATTGGGCCCTGTCACTGGATCTAACTAACGCCTTTATCCACTGTGCCATGTTTCCTTGAGGAAGAAGGCCGGGGCGTACAACGGCCGAAACGTTGTAATAAATATGGCGACAAAGATGAGGACAATAGTCCGAATAATGTAAATAAAGTACATAATACCTAATCTCACTGTGGAACTAGAAAAGTCTACCCCAGCGAGCGAAATAAAGGGTTCAGTTCGACATTCCAACCACCTGAAGAAGGTCGGAGCGTACAACGGCCGAAACGTTGTAATAAATATGGCGACAAAGATGAGGACAATAGTCTGAATAATGTAAATAAGATATAGTATGATTAACAAGCTGCTTCGTAGAGCATTAGTCAGAAATTAACATTAACATTTAGTTAAGTGAGATGTAAGATTCTTGAATATCCTTTTATCTACTGTAGAGATTATTTTATTTGTTTTTATCCTTTCTCAATAAATATATCTGTCT